ACCCGATGAGAGATGAGATTGGATAGGATGTCGGCACAATCCAATGATTACTCCGTAGAAAGACGGAATTTCCTCTGCATTCTGGGGGATGCTACGGAGTAACGAGGAGGACGTGCACATTAAGCTTATCGATAAGGGAAGACCACACTGCGCTAGGCCTAATCGGGTGCCCACGTAAACACCAAAACAGCCATCGGGCCTCACCGTGACTTCAGCTCAGCTCAGCTCAGCCAGCTCAATCTCTCTCTCTCTCTCTGTGTCTCTTCCCTTCTCTCCCCTTCATACGGTGTAGTACTCTCTCAGCATCCACCGCACTGCTCCCACCCCTCGTCCTTGTCTCATTTTCCCTTTCTATTCTTCCGATCTCTGTCCTTATCGATCTGATCTATCACATCCTTACCTCGCTCCCCTCTCATTGAAACACATTGGTAGCTGTCTATTATCACGCCCTTCTATACTTGGTTGTACCATTCCTACCATGCACAGTTTGGGAACTCCCTTGTATGGGTCTTAATAATATCCTCTCATTTGTTACTACTGGTTCGAACCACGGTTCGTCTTTTCCGAACCAGCGTACATGTCGTTTCCCTCATAATTATTGTGTACTAACGCATAACCTGCAGATCACCAGTTAAAACAGTCCACGCTGTTTCTACATCTCCCGGTCGGATTCGAAGGCAGGGCTTCATTGCGCCGGCACCCCAGCCGCAATGTCGCCCGCGGCACCTCAGCTACCTACGCGGTTCCCGTGCTGGTGTCGTGCCATTTACTCGTGGGGAGGAGAAACAAAACGCGATCTCGGCTTTGTGGAGGGCGATCTTATTGAGTGTTTGAATGCAGGAGATGGGCAATGGTGGATGGGCCGTTTGCGCCGTGACAGGCGCATGGTCGGGCTTTTTCCATCCAATTTCGTGGAGGTTCTGGGCGAGGATTTCGTGCCTGTCCCTAGAGCGGCGAGCCCCATGATTACTGCCGGACGCTCTCCAATCACGAATCCCACTTCCGCTCCGAAGAAGCAGAAGACCGTATTTAGAAAGCCCTTTCAGGCTCACAAGGAAGCTTTGGCCCCGGCGGAGCTGGCCCGGAGTGCGACAACAACGACGACACAAGCTTCAAGCTCAATTCCGCAGACGCCACCTCGAAATGGCAGCCGTGCGCGGAGTGTCAAACCTCTGCGCACACCAACAACTGCGGTGAAAAACCAGAGCTCTCTTTCCAGACCTCCCTCGCAACATAGACCTTCTTCCCGTGGAGTCTCACCCCGTGCGCCGCCGGTCGCCGATCTTCCACCACAAAGTCCCGCTCCAGCCAGAGAGGGTCTCTCACGCTCCAGGCCTCCGTCCCGCGCCCCGTCCCCTCGCCTCCCAGATGATATGGATCTTCTGCCGCCGTCCGTGCCTGTCAGGCAGACCCCGCTAGCTCGACCTCCGTCAGTTCGCCCTTCGTCGCGCGAGATCTCCCCGTTGCAGCTTCAAGAGCGCGAAGAGTCGCCGCCGCCGCCGCCTCCCCCTCCGCATCGAATTGCAGTGAACCGGCGACCTTCCATGGACATGGCTGTCCCCGCGCATCTGGATATGAATGACCGCTACGTGACCATGTCAAGGACTCCATCTCCAGCTGCTCATTCGGACGCCAATGGGAACACTCCGTCACCTCTTCGCGACGCAATGGAAGATGTCATGACTTCCCTGGAAGACATGGGCTTGTCGCGGGGGGCCCATTCACCATCGCCAGCCCCGGTATTTGATAATCCTTGGTGTCCTGAGGCTTTTGATAGCCTTCGCGACAGCAGACCTGCGCGGCACGGTCACCGGCCCTTGACATCCCTCGGTTTTGAAGGTGAACAGGATTATCAATTCCGTGAGAATCACATACATCGAAACACCATATACGGCCATGACCACTACCTTGACGGGCCGCCGCAATTAAACAACTACGTGCAGAGAATGGAAAGCCGGCTGCGTCAGATGCAGGAACAGAGTCGCAGAGGATCAGAAGACATACTGCCTCCGGAGGACGACGAAGAGCCTCCGCCTCCGCCACCTAAGCATCTTGCTCACCACGGAAGGCATAACTCGATCCCTGCGCAGTATCCATACCTAAGGAGTCGAAGGTCGGGGCAGGACTTGAGAGAAGACGTTCTGAATCGAAGTCACACGAACAAATCCAGTACCACGACTGCTTCGAGCGGTGTGCAAAGTATCAGCACGGCTTTGACAGCCAGCACAGAACAAACGAGCCCGAGCTTGATGAGTGGCCCGTCGGCGGGCGCATTCAGCGCAACAAGTGCAGGGAGTTATGCCAGGCGAGGCCTGACGACAAGTAACGAAAGACCAAACACGGCCATGGAAACCTTTCGCTCAAGAGGCTTCAGCGATGTTTCACGCATGCCTCGGCCTGAGACACCTCTTACTGGTATATCGTACCACTCAAGTCACAACACCTCTCGGCAAGGCGCTTCGTCTGCTATACCCTGGTCTCATCCTCCTGCCGATTCCAACGAATCTACCGCTGTTTTTGGTGGTCTATCCACTCCAAAGGCGAAGAAGCATGGGTTTTTCAAGAAGATCTTCGAATCAGCCAAGACCGGTGCCGCGAATGCCAGAAGCAGTATCGCTGTGGGACAAAGTGGTGGATCCTATTCACCTACGAAAGGCAGGGCAATGTCTCCAATTAGACGTGACTCGGTTCGCGATGCAGGGTCTGGCACGGTAGACTGGGTGCAGGTTCGACGTGACGTGAATCGAGCAAGCTCGCCGAGCCGCAACGAACGTATCGAAAGAGCCGAGCGCTGCCAGATGATGGACTATCCTGTGATCTACGCCGTGGAGGAGCTTCACGAGACTGCCGAAGGTGACGAAAGTATTGACGGGCTGCCGATCAGCGAGCCCACCAATTTCAACACGGTAAACTTGAGCCTCGTCGATAAAAGTGCTCGGTTTGTCAACAGCCTTCCACCGATGACCAACCCGATGAGCCTTGCGCAGGGCTATGTGTGCCGACCTTACAAGAGCGATGTTCAGAGATTGCGAGCTATCTTCACTTGGGTCAGTGAAAAAATTGCCTGGGACGAGCCCGTGGAGGAGATCGGAATTGACTTGAAACGAATTCTGCACACAAGACGAGGAAGTCCTCAGGAAGTCGCGTTCCTTGTCAAGGAAATGTGCGCGGCAGTCGGTCTTCATGCGGAAGTAGTGCAAGGGTTTCTCAAAACACCCGGTGAATTGTTCGAGCTGGACAGTCTTTCACGGCCAAACCACTGGTGGAATACGGTCTTGGTAGACGGCGAATGGCGCGTTATCGATTGTTCATTGGCAAACCCGACCAACCCGCGAAGGAATCAGTTCGTAACCACTGGCTCGTCAACAGCCGAAAGCTGGTATTTCCTGGCACGTCCGCTTGAGATCTGCTATACCCATGTGCCATTGCATCCAGAGGAGCAACACATATGCCCGCCCATCTCGCCAGATGTGTTGCTAGCCCTTCCTACAGCGTGCCCACCTTACTTCAAGATGAACCTGCAGTTTCCGGACTATGATACCAGCCTGATCAGAATTGATGGGCTGGAGCTTCTACAAATCCGCCTTCTCGTGCCGCCGGACGTGGAATGTGCGGCAGAAGTTGAGGCGCCCGCTTTCGCTCGGGATGCCGACGGCGACTTCTTTGAGAGTGGGGAGGTTGTTCGCAAGCGTGCCCTGGTGCAGCCAGACTGGGTCGCTGGTCAGAAACGCTTCACTGTGAAAGCTGTTTTGCCGGGTGACGAAGGGCAGGGGACAGTCAGAATCTACGCTGGCAAGAAGGGCCTGATGCACTCAAGCAAAGACATTCCCCATCCGCTGGCACTTGCCCTTCCAATAATCCACACTGGCGAGAACCCTCCATATGAGTTTGTTCTACGCCACCCGACACCTCATGCTCAACGGCATGATTTGTACATCATACAACCTCAGTGCGCAAAGCTTGCGGTCAACAACACATTTGTGTTTGCGGTGCGGCAACATCCTTCCTCGCTGCCTTCCCCGACAAACGGCAGCGATTCGGGTCCTACTGGGCGCGTCTCGCCGTCGATTTTCGCCCGACCTGCAAGTGCACTCAGTATGGTTTCCAGTTCCGCAGGCGGGTCTTCAGTCTCTGCAGTTTCAAACGAATTCTCGGCCTCTACTTCGGCCATATCGTCCACCAGGTCATCGTCCGGGCGGGAAAAACCGGCCAAGCTGGCAATCCAGTCGCCGTCCGGCAAGATCCTCCGGCTCACTCGCAAGGCAGACCATATGATCAGCAACGATTCTTCGTCAGATCCCACCGCCGATGGCAGCGTGTGGGAGACCGTGATCAAGATCGGCGAGCGCGGGACCTGGAGGGGGCTCGTGCTCGCTGACCGCGTTGCCCGGTGGTGTGTTTTCTGTGAATGGGAATGTTTCTAGACACGACAAGCATTTCTATGTCTTGATATGGTAAATGATCTTTCGTCCAATCTATGAGCCAATTCATGGCGCGCGGACGATGTGACTATCCGGCGTATTTTTGCATTTCTGGCCAGCTTTTTGTTGTATTTCTCTTTACGCCATGGTTGCATTTGCATCGGCTACACCGGGTCGGGGCATGGCATTTGTTCCTCTGCTGCATCTGGTTTTTTATTTTCTTCTACATTTCCATTCTTTTGATGGGACCACTGATGTAAACGTACTCGCGTTTATGTGTTCGGAGTTAATGGGACAATGGTCATGGGGAGCGGTGTTGGCATGTAAGAGCTTTTTTTCTTTTATCATTCTGTATGTGTGTGCATCATGTTGTGTGAATTTGAATGGAGCATGCTTGTCGCAGGCGCGGCAAGCCAAATCATAGATTTCCCTCTTTACATGTGCAGAGATTTCAGACTTGGAAATGGAGACATCTCGAGAGATTCATCATTGTGTGAAATAAGACATTCAACGGACAAAGTGGCCAACTGCCATCAATCGCCCTGGCATGAATGCAAATTTCCAGACTCTTAGAATCTCTCATTGACCTGTAACGGCACCTCTCGCCAACGGAGCGACCTGTTTCCTGCTTTTGGTCACATCCTTCTGAAGCCAGATACGCCTCCATACAGGGGCATCGCCGTTGAAAGCAGACTTGACCTGCGTATAATCCTCAGAGTCGCCCTCGACCGAGTTCCATTCCTCTAACCCCAGCTGCGGGCCAGCCTGCGCAGTAAATGCCTCCAGCGCCTGAACCGCCGGCCCATCGTGTAGAGCACAGACAATCAACTCGCGACAGAACCTGCCGTTCTGCGCAGACGAGGTAAACGCCGTCATGACAACCACGATCCCTAGTTCCCGGCGCTTTGCAAATGCCTGCAGAGCATCCAGGAACACCTCCGGGCTCCCCGCTTTCCGTACGATCCACGGAATCGACTTGACCATCGAGCAGAAGCCAATATGAATGGAACTAGAGTCCTGGTGGGCCGTCTCGGTCCATTGCTTGTAGTCTCGACCGAGGATCTCGTCTACGGTGAGTAAATCGAGGCTGTTTTGCTTGGCGTGGAGGATCTGCTCGTAGAAGGCGTCACGGTCCCAGCTTGAGCCGGGTGTGGACTTACACCGGTCAATTTTGGAGAGCAGGAAGTGTACTGCGTCTGTATCGGCGTCGGTGACTTTGTCCTTGGCGGTGAGGTTGGTCGTGTCAATGAGAACAGGGGCTAGGGCGAGCTTGGCGAGCTGCATCATCTCAGTTGAGGTGGTGTTTCCTTCGGTGTCAGCCTGCCAGAGATCCAGCTCTCGCAGTGTCGAGACCACAAGCGAAGTACAGGAGCCCGCAGGCCGCACAAGCAGCGGCTGACCGCGCGGGAGGGATTCGACGGGCGGGAGAAAGCCTTCGTCCACGTGGTGATCGATGCAGCCCACCGTGCAGAAGTCGACCGAGGGCAAACCATCTATCGATCCCTTTCCCCGTTGGCCGTTGGGCGCTCGGTGGGGTAGTGCGTTCCAGTCCAGGAGTGTGGCATCTGTGGTGATCCGATGGTGCGTATGATCAGCATGATATTGCTTTAGATGGGCTGCAAAGTCTGCAACGGTGAGAATATGTTCGTGGAGGATCCGTCCTGCGGTTTCGGGGGTCTCATCCCATACGTCCTCCCCCTCAACTGAGGGGGTTGTGGTAGCGAGGCAGAAAGCTTTTACAAACTCTGGGCGGAGCCTGCGCAGTTCTGGACCAGAAGGAACATTTGGTAGATTTATCAGGGGAATATGAGGTCGAGGACAATCAATTGGAATGCGATTATGGGCGAAATAAGAATAGACAATGACGGAGATGGCGGAGTCAAGATCGGCCGAAGGGTTTCCCACCACGTAGATGGGAGTCTCTGTCCGCGAGGAGGATGACAAGCCCCCGGCAATGAAATTCAGATGTGATTGACGCGCCTGCTTTAGAAATCGTAACAGGCTCTGCGAGGAGGGCGGGGAACGAGCCATCCTGCTCGCAATTGCAGAAGTCATTAAAGTCCGAAAAGGGAAGCTCGTGATAGTTGACATCATCGGCAAAACGACACCGCCCGGTCAGCAATCAACTGGTCTGCATCCAAACGCTCAAAGATACCTTCCAATGCCAGATTCGGCATCAGTTCTGGACGAGTGTACATATTAGTGATATTGTTATGGCGTGGTAGGCCTCAATTTCCCCGTATATTCCCGCTCAGTCGACTAATCAACTATTTAGATACCCTTCTGTGCATAAACAGCCCTAGTATATATCTCGGTCAACGTCTACGAGTAGTCCAACTACATACACTCCCTACATCTTCCCTTGAGATGGCAGTCTCTCTGCCGGCAGCATTTGCTCAGATTCCTCGATATCCTCTGCTATACCCTCATCCTTCCCCAATTCACCCCCTCACACTTCTGTCCACGTACCTCAACAACAACAACACCACAACCAAAACACCGTATATCTCCCTCTACGCCAAACGAGAAGATCACTCCTCTCCACTTGCCTGCGCAGGGAACAAATATCGCAAGCTCGAATACATCATCCCGGACATCCGGCCCTCTCACAGCGCTCCCAATGGAACCCCCCCAACCCTCGTCACCGAGGGCGCCGTCCAGAGCAATCACACCGTGCAGGTTGCCGCAGTAGCGAACCGACTCGGCCTCGAGGCAGTCGTCGTCCTCCACAAAGGCACAGGCGGCGGTCTAGCCGCCTCAACCGACAAAGCTTCGTTCCTGCGCACGGGAAACCCGCAAGTTGCCCGTCTCCTTGGGGCAGAGGTGAGGATGCTCGAGTCATCGACTGTCCCCGCAGACGAGGAGGAGGATCCAATCCCTGGGATTCTGGAGGAATTACGCGCGCAGGGCAAGGCGCCATATTGGATCCCCTCCGGGGCGAGTCTGCATCCTCTCGGTGGGTTGGGTTATGCGCGCTGTGCGTTTGAGATTGCGATGCAGGAACAGACTCAGGATTTGAATGGGAGTGGGCGCTTTGATTATATCTTCGTCGCGTGCGGGAGTGGCAGTACGGTGGGTGGTCTGATCGCCGGGCTGAAGCTGTTGGAGAAGCTGGAAGGCAGAACCGGGTCGAGTAAACCGCCTCGGAAAGTCATCGGGATCTTGACTTCGCCTACCAAGCCTCGGGAGTACCATGAGGAACGGGTGCTCACGTTTGCGCGTCGCACCGCTGCTCTTATTGGTTTGGATGCTGAAAAGGACATTTCCATGGAGGATGTTCGGCTTGATGATCGTTTCGCTGGCACCGCATATGGTGTTCTAGATGCACAGACAAGCACGGCGCTGGACTTGATGGCAAAAAGGGAGGCAATAATGCTCGATCCCGTATACACTTCAAAGGTCATACGGGGACTCTCGCACTGGGTACAGCAAGGGGACCTGGCAAAGGACTGGTCACTTCGTACGCGAGATTGGGAACGCCCCGACTCCATGAACCTGCTTTTCATCCACACTGGAGGACAGGCCGCGTTAGGCGCCTATGCAGACATGGTCGAGTCATAGCGGCAAGGAATTAGACAGTGAGATTAGAACTCTGATTCTATTGATAAGAGATACAAATAAGGTATTTTGGCTAGTATTACATCGAACGCACCCCAAGGGAGCTATCGGCGCGAAGAAACAGAGAGGCTGAAGAATGTTAGAATCACAGAAACAACAGTGGTTTCACTCGTCATCCATCAGGGATCAACCTCCGCAGGGCCGTAAGAGTATATAGAACCGTGAAGACACTGAAAAGAAATAGACAACACGGATGAGAAAAGGACCCAACTCCCCGCCTTCCTCATACACCATACGCGCCACCATGCGCAAAAGCAGCAACTAACGTACAGAGCACATGAAGCATTCAGAAGAGCATCATTAAATAGAAAGTCAACAAGCAGAAAAGTCATCAGCGAAAAGGAGAAAAAGAAAAGAAAACCCGCGTATAAAAAACGCCGCAACTAGTCGCCAGTTCAGATGTGAACGCCGCTAGAATGCCCTTCTAAAAAGTGAAAACTAGCCCCACGTGGACTTCACATCCCCATATTGGCGGCGCAAATCCAGGTGTGGAAAAAGAGATAGGGATCTGTGGAATCAGAAAGGTTGCCGAATCGAGGAATATGATCGGAACAGTGCTTCAATTCGTGAAAACATTTGAGATGGTCATATCAAGAACTCTCTGTCGTGTCTTCGGCGTCGGCTTGACCGTTCATGTCACCATCTACTCCAGTATCAGGAGAGTCGTCGTCTTGCATGGCGTCAGAGTGGTCCCCGCCATTACTTGCATCGAGGGCCTCCAATGCTTCGTTAGCATGCGTGTTCTCCATAGGCTCCGGTTCTGGCTCGGGCTCCGCATATTGGTTCGTCAAATCTGCGAAAATATCATCATCGAGATTGTGTCGAGGACTACTGTTAAAGGGGTCCTGATTGTCAACGTCAACTACTGGAGGACCCTCGGTAGGATCTCGGTTAAACCGAGGAGAGCTGAACAGAGCGCTGTCGAGCCCATGATGCGGTGATGGAGATCGCGGAGGGAATGAAGGAGAGTGTGCTGAAACATGTGGCAGGAATGCAGACGGTCCAGGTGCAAATGCCGGAGTAGAGTCGCTAGCAGGAAGAGAGTAATTGGCAGAGAAAGGATATGGAGGATTTTGTGCATCCGTCATGGGAGTCAAAGCTGGGCCAGGGCGATTGGAGTCTTCACCGGGAGTATGAGGTGTAGGCTGTAGTGTTGCAGGTCGAGAAGTCTGTGAATCGAGAGACTTTCGCTTCGCATGGTTCAGTTGCTTGGTACGTAGATGAGGAGGCAGATCTTCTGGGCGCTCGACGCCCAACTGCGCCATTATTTTTTGCTGCTTTGTCGGGCGTGGTTTGCGCGTCGACAGGGACTGCTCCAGTATTGGTGGCGGTTCCGGAGCAACAGGTGCCCATTTATGGATCTCTTGGCGGAAGAAATTTGTCTCATACGCCAACAACACCTCGGCGCCCTCGATCTTGCGCAGGTAGAAGACCAACGTAGGAACCTCTTCCGTCGTTGTGCAAGCCGCATTGGTAAAGCTCTGTATAAAATCACGGAAGGTAGTTGCTTGGTTGATGATATTCTCCAAGACTTGTTCCTCGTCCGGCTGAAAAGGGAGGCCTGGGATTTCGGCCTGCCAATCCTGGAGATCCTCGAGCTTGGGGCGAGCAGCATCTCGGGGAATCTTCTGACGCCAGTCACAGATGGGACAAGTATACTTGTCAAACTCCTTGACTTTGCCCCTTGCAATCTTCAAGCATTTACCGTGATACCTACAAATCCCCAGGTTAGCCATCTTGCAGCTACAGGTAAGAAAGAAGTATATACTCACCACTCATGGCAGACCTCACATTCAATCATCATCCCAGCCTCGGAATGCCTGCAAATGCAGAAGACATCCCGCTTTCGAGACTTTCCACCACCCCACATGCTGGTGGTGGTGGTTGTCGTGGTGTGGTTCTCCAAAAGACCGTCAGGGGTGTTATCTCGAGATGAGGGTTCCACAGGTGGCCGGCAGCGATCTTCCAAATCAAAGCAATATGAATTCCTCTTTTCCACATACTCCATGTGAGATTTCAAGATGTGCAAAGGGGCGTTGGCTTTCCCGAATAGTTTTTTCCCCTTTCGCATCCAGTCTTCGTGACGCTTCTGCTCACGCTCCAGGTCAATTGCTCCCGTGGGCCGGCTATTCAATGCCTCCAGAGAATCCAGTAGTTCACGGACTTCTTTATACTTTGGACGTTTTCTGAAATCTGGATTCTTGCTCCGCTCGTATAGACTCTGTATTTTCTTCTGCGCTTCACGCTGTTTGGTCAATATCGCGTCGACGGCCGAGAGCGTTTCGGGAGAGACAGGGAAGCGTAGCGCCTGCGCAGACAAGGCTTCGAGTTGTTGATAGTGAACCGATTCTACAGACATCAACTCCTTCGCTTTCGCTTCCCAAGTCTCACCGTGCCGGAACAACTCCTTGAAGTGACTGAGATGTTCGTTGGTTTCGGAGAGTCCCAATTGTTCGCCAGCCTGGACGAGTTCTTGACATTCCTTAAGAGTCATGTACTGATCACGCTTGCGACGCGCTTCATCATTCCACCTCATTTGTCGAAGAATATGCTCCAATCCTTCCACTTCAGGTATTTCCACATTGAAATTGCGAGCCGATTCCACCAACTCTTCCACTTCCTGGATCGACCGTATATGGGGGTTCATAAGGGCAACGTTAACGTCCTGGCGGAATTTCTCGATCTCGCGGGTTTTCTCTTCCAGAGCCGCCATCTGTGGACAGTCGAAGGAAAGTTTATCAGCCTCTGCAAGAAGGGCGTACATGTTTTCTACCCTGCGAACTTCACGATCACGTTCCTCCAGCTGCGCGGCCTTAGAAGTACTCTTGCGCCAAGCCTTCTCGTTTTTCCTCCGGTTTTGCTGCTTCCGGGTGATGTAGTTGGTTGCTTCTTCAACCCACTTATCGCAGCGCTGGACGAAGGCCGCGAGATCTTGGAGACCATGCAGGTGGTATGGGATTTTCTCACCTTCGCTTAGTAGGCTATGGAGGACCTTCAGTTGGGGTTTCGGCTCATCTTCCAGAACCTTGTCGAGCTTCTCCCCCCACGCTTCCGGGATCCTGGCACGCTCTTGGACCTTCTGCACGAGGGCTTTCAGTGTATCGTCACTCATCCTGTAACGCAGTGTATGGTCTGGGCCTAACAGTCGCTGAGAGGGTGACTCTCCGCAGCAATCAAAAGCCTCCGCGTGCAGCAGGCACACTGTCTTGCCGGACTTGTGACAACGAAACTGCGTCAAGTATGTATACGCTTTGCAATACTGACACTGGTAGTCATCTTCAGGAAGATCTTCTTCCTCAACCACAAACTTCAGTTGGCATTCACCAGCAGCTGAGGAGTCCGATGGACCAAGTGCGCAGTTGTGCGGTGCTATTTCACGATGTCGATGGATGAATGCTGCTCTCTCTGCAAGCTCTCGGTGACATGTCCGTTGAAGAGCCGGAGCTAGCCATTTAGCCGTCGTAATCGAAGTATCCCGAGCGGCTGCCGTCAGCAGCAGTTCATCGTGGGAGAAGCACGGGTGGCGGCGGAAAGCCTGGAGTCTCTCAACTCCCATTGCGCCCCAAGGCTCCCAATCCACAGGGGCGAAGTTCACGGCTTCATTGAAGTTGAATCCGTGATTGAAACCAGCATGGTATGCTTGCGGGAAGGTGATGACAAATTGTCCAGCCCGTTGATCAAGAGCGTATACGTTTACACCGGCCTTTTTCAGCTGGTCGGGTGGCATCAGAGTGACGAGTTGGAAAAGTAGATCAGGCTGACCCTCGAAAAGCTCTGGAACCGCTTGGCGCATGGCCTCTTCGAATGCTTCTGCGTCGGACCCTGGAATACCATACCAAGTCTTCGTTGCGCCGAAATGCTGATAATTGGCCGAGTAGGCATAGTGATCTTCATTGTGCCAACAAAATGTCGAAAAACACATGCCCACGTAAACCCAAGGAACGGTCATACCAGAGATGTCCGACTTTATGTAACGGAAAAGTGAATCGCCGTGGAAAGGAAGGACATTCAAGTTCCAAGGGTCTGTTGAATAGGGATCAAGTGGATTGCGTTCAATTGTAGGAAAGCCACTGCCGTGTGTGGTCGAATGGATGTCGGCGCCATACTCAACCTCGACGGTTTCAGTCAAGCTCTCGACCAGTCTCCAAAATTCGCGTTCCACGTCGTCCTCAGACTCTCGCCGGTGAGTATTCAACACCGGGTCAAAAGGCATTTTGGAGGCGAAATAATTCTGCTTGAAGCTGTTTGCTTTCTCCTGGAATTGCTTGAGCGAGTAGACTCCGCCTTCTTCAAACCCGAACTCGCCTGTGCCGACCAGGCACTTGGGGCAGTGCCAGTCATACTCGGGGATAGTCGTCAAAGGAGGATCAAGACAGTTTCTGTGGTAACCCTGGTCGCAACTGTCGCACACAAGTATCGAGGGTCGATCCTCGGACTTGCCACAGACTTCGCATTTCTAAGAATAGTCAATACTGTTACATATTCAATGATCCGAGATTTTATGCTTACATCTCCGATCTTCCGACTGTCGCTTTTGCGTGCCCGAGGCGGAGCAGGACGGAGGAGGCTCATGTGCGAACCCGCGACAGTGGGTGGTGGTGCATCTAGCCGAAAGTCAGACGAACCGAACCACGAGACACGTTGATAAGACACATGCTTACCCTTTCGAAGGCGCTTGCTTCTTCGCCCACTTCCGTCTGTTTCTCCACCTTCAGTCTGGGAGCCACTTTCATGGCTGATAGCGCGTTTCATGGGATGGCTTCCATTGCCGTTGGGGACAGGTGTCGAACTTTGAGGGTGTTCAGCAACGCTTTGCGGCGTAAGCGAGCCAGTCTCGGCCTCTTTCTTGACAACTGGGCCGCTATTCACGGCGACGAAGGATGGAGACCGATTGACAGCAGTAAAACCGCCGCCACCGGCATTGACAGGAGTGAAGCCGGACG